TACATCACAATGTATATCATTATATAATTACACAATTGATATACATTACAATGTATATTATAATTATAGGAAAGGTGTTATATGCAAATGAAAAATGTTCTGCCTTAACCGCGGTAACCACGTGCAAGCACAGAGTTGAAATCAATCGTCTGCTTTGCCATTGCAAAATAATTTCAACGGAACGCGAACGATACTTGAAGCGAGAGGAACGAAGGAGAAATAACGTGGAAACAAGGTACGCGAGAATCGACGGATAGTTTTCTGTGGACACCCGGTACGAAACGGATGATTGCGCCCCGCGAACGCAACAGATCGCTACGTTATTATTTTCGCCAGTTATCGAATTAGATGTTGGCTTAACGGCTACGTACGCCGTACGGTCTCCTCCGAGCCGTTTCATAGGCGTACATACACACGCGGCCCATCTTTATCGCGTGATACTAACGAGAGCATCAAACTTTACGGATCTATTTAATTCAATTCCCTCGATGCTTCACCTCTTTCTCTCTCGCTCTGTATAATTTAATAGAGTCTTTCAAAAGGGTCTCATTCGACCGCCTGTTACCGAAATTATTTTTGTTTCTTTGACCTAACCTAACCTAACCTAACCTAGACAAGGGAGAGTCTCTTTGATAAGTGAAGAACGATTTCGAGGAGTGATCAGGGTTGTCAAAGAAGAAGGGTTGGGAAATGTAGATGAATCTATAGTGATAGTACGCTTTCCTGTCCAGCAGGTAGAAATTCATCGATCGGACGGTGATCTACTGCCGGAAGGAAAGGTAGGGATCTGCGATCGCGACTCTTGGCAACGGCTCGGACGCGGCTCAATTTCCCCGCGAGAGTTGTAAATCATGCCGGATTCTAGATCGCACCGCGGATGACGCCCATGGGCTCCTCTCGAGCTGTTTCGCACTGCAGGATCGCCCTTTTCCTTCTCGTGGCGCGCGCGCGCCTCCTTCTCTGTCATTCCGCTCCAATCGTTCCCTCTTTCTCGATTATTCCCACTCCTTTTTCCCTCAGCTACGTTTCCCTTCGATGGCTCGGGACTAGAGATGGGATCGAGCACCTCGTAAGTAAATTCGAATCGACTTGCAGTCGTTGAATTTAAGAAAATCATTTGGAAGTGTTTTGAATGATGTTGCGAGTAATATTCGAATCTAGAAAATAACGATAGATTCGAATATTTCGCGAACACCTCTGGCGTATTCAAATGTTCCGTTCGCGTCCAGTGCGCATGCGTCCGACGCACCCGCGTCCAACGCGCATGTGCGATTGACTCGTTTTCTCCTTCGTCTACGTATTTGTCACTGCGTTTCACCGAAATCGCTAGTTGATGAAACTGTTGCAATGGCAATTAATAAAGATGATGATACATCTTTCAATTCAGGGAATCTTTCAATAATACGGAGAAATTGAATTTAATATGCAAAGTAAAGTGTAACGCGATCTTTAAATGTTGCAGTGTCAGACGGGTGCGCATTCGTGTCTAACGCGCATGCGTCCAAGTCGTTCAAATATTTGTCTTTTTTTTTCTTATTAAAATCTTGTTGTTAATGTTTTATTAAAATCGCCTCAAACCTGACTAATAAAGATATTAATTATTAATATTAATATTACAACCAGGTATTATAGGTTTATTATAACTATTATTATTATAGGTTAGGTTATAATAACCTATAATAATATTATTTAGGTTATAATATATATAGGTTAGGTTATAATAACCTATAATAACTATTATTTAGGTTATAATGTATATAGGTTAGATTACAATAACCTACAATAACTATTATTATGATAGGTTATTATAACTTAACCTAATTAACAAAGGCAATGTCTTTTAATTCAAGATATCGGACATATCGACTGGATGAGGTTGCCAAATGTTGCATTCACGTTTAACGCTTATCGTCAAAATACGTTGAAACGTATCGTAGATAGTCATTCTACAATTCCGTATAAACAGCTCGTATAAATTGAATAATATATAGCGCAAGCATGCTCGAAAGATTTTTGCTATCGAGTGGTGATACTCGAAAAGGGAACTTAAATATCGAACTTAACTCGACTTCGCAAGTACATATTGGACTTGATCCCATCCCTACTCGGAACTATCGAAGATAGGGGGCATCCGCGAGATTACGGCTCACTCGTTACTACCTACAACGTACTTACGTTACTTTTAGAACTGCTTATTACCGTGATTACCGGCGCATAATGCGACGACCGAGCGTTCTACAATTTATTATTGAATTGCTATAATACCGGCTACGCTCCGCGTGTGTATACTAAGCCACACGTGGAAAACGTACGGGCTGCGAAATCTCCCGGAGATAACCAGCCCTCTCTGTTCTAGGATGAAAAGAAAGAAAAACGTTTTGTTGCATCGTGGTAGTAAACGCGGAAACTCCAGCTTCTTCCTCTTCTCACACCTCTCCACGTTTTCTTCTTCGTCTTTTTTCTTTTTTTTTTTTTTTTTTTTTTTTTCTTTTAAGCGAAATGCAACCTGGTTAAACAACCAGAAGAGAGAAGAGAGTCGATTATCGGAGAGCACAGACACAAAGGCGTCGTCTCCATTTGCGTTTTTCTCTCGGTGGATCGTTTTAAATCGCGAATTTAACGCCACTCTACTTATCTGTGTTATTCCGCGGGGTCAGAGTATATGGTCCGCGTTATTAGCAGTTTGCCGAGCGTCTGTTAGGCTTGGACATTATTCAAATAAAATGTGATGTAATGACGTGATTGTTTAAATAATGATAAAAACTTATTAAAGTAATAAGTTTAAATAATAATAATTGTTATTGAAATAATACATACTTTTATTGAACTCGAAGAGCCTAGTTTATTTTCGATTTCACATTTTTTTTTCTTAAAAATCTAATCTGAATCTAACCTGATCTATATCGATTTAAATTATCTACTGATAATTTAGGAAGATAATTTATATTCATAAATATTACTATTCGAATCACTTTCTTTTTGCTCTCTCGATTATCGAAATACTAGAGACTTGTTTAAAACCAATTTAACCTTTAAATTGTTAGGTTTAGACAACTGTTGGAAATTTCTGTTAAATTACTAAAACTTGAAGTACTCAATCCTCTGCAGTGGAAATCGGAAATTAAACGTTTACAAAAGTTAAGTAAATTTAACTTCGAATCTCTAACTTCCCAAAACGCCGTCCTTAGTTAATCGTCCCACGATCATTTCATTATTCCCAACTGCGATAGTGTGATTCATTTGTAATTAAAACAATTCGCATTCCGCTCGAAAAAGAAGCGAACCAGCGGTGCAGCGAATCTTTCTTTTTTTGATCAACGCGGAAGAGGAATGCCCAAGGCGGCCACGATGTACACACTCTCGCCCCCGGTCAAATCACCGGTCTCTCTGTCTTCGATCCCTCTATTTCAACGCTATTCATTGTTGCACGTATATACGTACGGAAGGACTGGACGAGCTTCGAGCGGTCGCCGCGAAATAACACATTTAAAAGGAAAGCCGGTGCACGCATCATTTCTAGAGCGGGTAATTCTCTCCCGATAACGTTACGTGTTGTCCCGATAATGCGTACTTGCCGGATCCACCAGCCATTAACATATCTGGTTACCCTTCCCTCGCGTGAAAATGTTTCGCAGTGCCTGTTGTTGGTTTTTCAACCTTTTTTGCCGATGATCTCGTGTAAGGTACTTGAACGTTGAGATATGGATCGTTATCTGGATCGGGTGTCGTGCGCGTCTTCTGCTGCCTCGATTCTACAATACTTGTCATAAATATCTACCGCATGCTCGCATCGTAGCACAGACAATTGTTCAAATTTCGATGAATTAATTAATCGAAATACATGTTATTAATAGACTTGTAGAAGATTTATAATATCCACATCGTGGAGAACATGCAAACCGCATATGCAGTATTGCATATGTTGTAAAAATATTTATTCGTTATTAATATGTATAATATATTGATAATATTAATATATATAATAATACGGAAATATTAATTGCGTTGTTTTACTGTGTGAGCAATGCCACAGAGCATTGACTAACCGGACATTCAATGCTTTCTGGTGCCCCCTTACCATTTTCGTGTCACATCCTACCATATCGATTTAGGCAGGTTTTGCATCGCAACGCTACTAGAATAGACTGGACATTAAATGGAACTTCGTGTCTTAGATTCTGAAATACCGACCAGGAAAAAATCGGATTTTGTCAGCCAGTTGTAGTTCTGAAGACACCGATAAATTTGGAGAAGTTTGAAGAGAGCGGCGATACCTGACAAGATACTTACATATACTACTTGCAGACAGACAGATATCAACAATTTATTATTTGCAAATAGTAAAGTTAATGTGTCAGACACATCAGCACGATATAGATCGACATATTGTTAGAAAATCAGCAATTAGCATAGCTCAGTGTATAATCAGAAAGGAGGCAAATAGTACAGGTCAATGTTTTGTCAAACGTCCGCAAGTAGTATAGCACAACGTATGATCAGACATTCGTTAAGTGGCATTAATCTTAAGTTATTCCACTTCTTTTTGAAACTTTATTAAATTTATTTTCACTCTTATTCGTGGCAATTGAAGTAATCGTAATTAAATGAAATTATAAAAATATATGCGACTTACAATTAGATGAGAGGAGCAATCATGCCTCAGCGGAGATCATTGCAAACATCGCAGTAAGTCCGATGGGGGAATGTCTGCAACAAATCACGATCATTATTAAATACGTATATGCAACAACTTTTAAAACGATGCTCACTGTTTTAAATTGTAGATTTAATTTTAATTTTTAAATAATTAGTTTAATAGTCAAAGTTTAATAAATTTAATCTTTTTAAGAATAAACTAAAGACATGAATCTAATCAATTCTATCGATTTTATTTTCATTCAAATCTATCAGCACTCGCATAGTCAATGATTGAACTTATCAACAGCGAATAATGATGTAATTTTCTCCGCGCTTTCTTTTCGGCCAAAAGATGTCATAACCACAGACACAGACGAGGTATGTTTATATTCGTCTGCGATGTAACATAATTATAATAACGCGCTGTGTGTATTATCCTTGATAAATAAAAATATTGTTAGTAAACAAAGCTGTGCATTGCTACACATTATTAAAGAAAGGTAATTTTATCATTCAAATTTTTGTTTTATGAGATTTTATTTAACCTAACCTAATATACAGAAACCTAACCTAACGAAGTAAAGAATAAATTATATCTTTTTCCAGAAATGTAATTATCTAAGTAATATACATAATGATTTAATTATATAATTACATAATTATCTATATAAAACATATAATTATCCAAAATACCAGAGAGCGTTTTTTGACGGATACGAATTTAATAAATAATACGAAAATGCAAAGGACAAATTTGCCAATCGTGCCAGTGGAACTGGATTCCTCAATTGCGATAAAAATAAGCATGGGTGGATCTATGTTCCAAGAAAGAACATTAATGGGCCGTTCAGACGTGTGGCATAAAATTAAAATATTGAAAGGGATCCAATATGACAAGGAAACAGTGCTGAAAGCTATACTGAATGCTATCGAACCAGCAGAAATGATACCTGTTAAGTACCAAGCCAGCGGGGAAGACACCTATTTCATGGCACGTAACTGCGCTCACGCTCTTGATAAGCTGTGCAAAACTAACTTAATAATAAAAAACCCTGAAGGAGATCCTCTAATCCTAATCATAACATTAGGGTTTGCATCCATTCACGATTTGAAACTAAATCTTCAGTCATTGCTCCTTACTGCATTGACCAAAAAATACAATCCTAATTTGAAACGTTTAGACCTGACAGAGTTTCATAAAGATCCTGATTTATCTAAAATTGTTTACTGCCCTTTATACCAGCAGAGGACTTTCTGTCATGTTCTGAAACTAACAAAAACTTCAATTGCCACAGTGGAACATCTGAATCTTCAGAAGAATGAATTGTTCAACCTGGTTCCTCTAGAAATCTCTACTAAGACCATAAAATATCTTGATTTAAGGCACAATAACTTGATATCTATGGAAGCACTCAGTCCCATAAAAAACTTGTGCATAACGAAGCTGTGGCTTGATGGAAATCCCCTCTGCGAGAACTACTCCAATTCGAGACAGTACATAAACTCCGCACTGAAATACTGTCCCAATTTGATTCAATTGGACGGTGTTTACATAAGAACGTTCGGCCTGCCATTAACATATATCACTTACTTTAAAAACGAATCCAGGGAGCAGCTAGTCAACAAATTTATTCATCACTTTTTCATCTTTTACGATGAATGCGACAGAATCTCCTTGAGAGGATTATATTCTGAAAACGCGTTTTACTCTATGACTTTTGGGATTCCAGGAGGTATAGCTCACAAAAGAAATCTCATGCAGTTTACAGCAAACAATTTTAATCTATTAAAGAGCGGCGACATGAATAAGAAACGGCAGCACATTTATTATGGGCGAGATAATGTTATAGTTGGCCTGAAGAAACTACCAAACTCCTATCACGAGAAAACTTCTTTCGTGTGGGATTTGATGTACGACGATGGCAAATGCTTGGTGATCTCAGTTTGCGGACTGATGAAAGTCATGACCCACTCACAGCAAGTTCTATGGTTCAGCAGAACGTTCGCCCTTCAAGCTGGTCCTGAATACGAGTACAACATCATCAACGATCAGTATTATGTAGACGCCACTGTAGAAGAAATCCTACCAAAGGACGTAAAGTCAAAAGTTCCCTACAATCCTATCGACCCATCGTATTACAGTGTAAACGAGAAAAAAGAGATGTTGATCAAGTTCTCAGAGTTGACCATGTTAAACGACGAATGGTGCAACTCGTATTTAGAAGAAGTGAATTGGGACATAAAGAAAGCCATTTTGAATTTCATTAAGGATTACAAAACCTCCGCCATTTCCGCTAACGCATTTCAAAAGTAGTATTGTTTGTAACTAATGACAAATCTGTAAACGTTGATATGACAATTTTCCTTTTAACTCCTCTTTATACTCTACATATTACAAAATATATTTTTGATAAATGCGTCATTGAATAACTATCGAATCTGATCCCCTTACCATTTTTATGTCGCATGCGATATTATCGATTCAGTGTAATATATTCTTTTTCCTATCAACTTGAATCTTTGTTCAATAGATGGTTCCACAACAGTACGTTGCAATAGCTTTTTCTATTAATAATTTTAATAACAATATAGAAAGAAAAAATATTCTTTTACAATAAATTATATTCAATTCTCACGTCTACTAATTTTTGCTATTTTTACCATCATTCCCATAAATGGCGAAACATCCGCAAAAAGGTAGCCTATTATTTCACATACATACATAATGAGAAATGAAACCGCTTCGGTAAAAACGAGATATCCTTGACAGAAATGAACATTTTCTTTCCCAAGTAATGTCTAACCCAACACCATTGCAGATCAATGAACGTGTCGTGACGTTGCTATGTTACTTGTCTGGCATTTAAACGGAACCCAAAGGATGCTGCTCGCTGACTTCATCAAAAGGTTATGCATTCAAGGATTGCGCCGATTGCGGGAGACCGAGTGAATGAGTCGAAGAACCTGCGTTGCCTCTCTTTCACCGAATATCTACGCTGAATGTTTGTCCGATACCTGGCTTATATAATTGTCATTTATCACATCTTCTTCTGTTGACCATTAAGACGTTCCTCATCTTAGAATACCTAATGTACTCTGTTACAAAAGTGATAGAAAATCGAATGCTGCATGCACATAAGGTACCAATAAATTCCCTACGATGTGAATCTTTACGAAAACGTCTCTATGCCAACGCTGATTAAAGTGACAATCTACCGAACCGAATGTGTCTAGGAAATGTGTGGGTAGATGAACTTTGTACGTGATTTATAGGTTAAAGGCTGCTCAGCTGGAAAATGTGTTTTGCTTGAAAGGTTACAGGGAGTGTGTAACTCATGATCAGGGCCATTTATGATGTACTTTTTACTCAAGCACTATTTTAGTTACCTATTTTTGCTGTAAGTACGTCAAAGTAATCGCTCGATATTACAATAGATTCCGGGTACACTTTAAGTACGACTGTATTAGAAATAACGATTGAAACATTTTTATTGAAATAAGATAGTGTCTGAAGATTAATTTTATATTAAACGGAGACCATCGATTGAAATGACAATTGTTTAAAAATAAAAATAACGCTAGATGTAGTTATTTGAAGTAATGCTTTGTCAATGAACATTTCGAATAATATGAAAATAAATAATTATCATATATATATATATATAATAATAATAATAATATAATCATATTAATATGAAAATAAATAATTAATAGTATCTCTAATTAACCATTGTAATACCGTACATAAAATAATTAACCATTTGTTTTTCGTTTCAAACACACTTTTTTATTTAACCCAGCGCAACTTGCGAGGATAATAAAATATAATAAATCCTGGCTTTCTCTGTCACACGGCCAGATTCACCGGGAAAATTGTGCAAAAGCGGAACAGGGACAACTTAAACGACGACGAACGATCGGAACCGGCTAAATAATCGCCCTGGCGTTTTCCATCAGATCCATATCTCACGGAGAGCGCTTTCCATTGCGCAACCAAACCAGGCTTCGTTTCCTGGTTCCATGGCAGGAAGATGCCACGGGAGGGAAAAAAATCCGGCCGACAATAACGCGTGTTACGCGATCGTACGTGTTAGTCGAGCAGCTCGTTTTACCAACAATTACAGGACCTGACAACGCGCATACTTAGCGGTATAATAAAATGATTGTGTGAAATTGTGCACACTACACGCAGTCAGCCTCCCACGAGAGTTTTGTTCTGATTTGGATGAAGAAGAAGAGACAAAGGGGAAGGGAAATAAACAGCTACGCCATTATTATTCCAGGATATGCCCGCGACCAATTAGAACTTCCTTCGATCGAACTCGCCGCTGCTTTCCCGGCTTCCTCTTCGCTCAAGGTTCCTCGACACACGCGAAAGCCCTAACCCAACAATCGTTGGACTGTGCCTGACACTGATCAACGATTTCGTAACGTTACACGGGACGCAGATCATCGATCAAATTCCGATAAGTCGCCGAGGACGCGTGTGATTCTTCGTTTTATTCTACCTTTTTCGTTTTTTTTTTTTTTTTTTTTTTTTTTTTTTTTTTTTACGAAAGTAGGTTTCAAGAATCAAATTTTTTACATCGTTCACTACATTTTTATTTCATGTGAAACTTGTTTATACGTATTGCGAAGGGAAGTATATCGAGAAATAAAATTTTTACGTGGCTGAAAACTTTTTCCATTGAAATCTGAAGGATTGGACATTTTGATCAGGATGATGACCTCTTTACGTGGTCGTGAAAAAAAATTACTTTTCAGCAAGGGGTAAATTGGCCATTGTGTATCTCGTCTTGAGAAGTGTTTCAGTTTCGAGAGATTTTCACCCTTCGCCAGGTTTGGAGAGAGAATGTTTTTTTTTTTTTTTTTACATCGTTCGCACATACGCGAGTTGTTCGATAGTGCGATAGTTTTCTCCTCGTTACGGCCACTGAAACGAACTAAGCTTAATTGAAGGAAATCTGGGGACCTCGTGTAAAAGGTGCTGGGGACAAAGAGAATCGAGGACGCCGCGCGTGCCATTGTCTACGCATCATTCGACTCCACACTCTTCAGGGACAGCGGCATCGCGAAAGTGGCCGATCCATTGAAGCAGTAACAGAAGGAAAAAAAAAAAAAAATCGATCCGCGAAAGCGTCGGAAAAACAATGCCCCCCCCCCCCCCCCAGTTCCAGTTTGCAATCTGTTTCATCTGTCTGGCATCGATAACACGTTGAGGGAGAGAAAGTCGAATAATTATCAGTAGTAATCGAATCGGAAGATCGACCGTAGGAGGAAAAATGAAGGAAGATCGACAGTAGAAGGTAAAGGAAAAAAAAAGAACGAAACCAAAGGATCCGACCGAGCGGTCGACGCATCCTTGTGCCACAATCGCGACCGCAACGACACATTCGTAGCACGAAACCGATGCCGCGATTTCGTGCGATTGCCACACGCGAGATCGTGTCCGCTCGCTGAAAACTAGTTGTTTTCTGCCGTTTCTTTACGCGACTCACTCTAACGAGATTACCGTACCGTTGCACGATCAACAAGTTTTCACACCTCTTCTCTCCTTCTCTAGTTTTCACGACAGATTTTTCTTACGAAAAAAAATCGATTATTCTATAACTGAAAGTTTATAGTGTACCGTCTGTTTGGTGTATATTTTCAACATATCCGACGATAAAGAAACAAAAATACCGCCAAAGCTGTGTGATAATTAGACGGCGTATTTTTACGCGTTCGTAAGGAATTTGAAGGTGCAAGAATGCACCGTGCAATATGCAGAAGAACGTAAAAGTGCAATGTTCTGTACAATGATTAACAGAGGAAACAATATTCTATGCAGCTTCCCTTTTCTAAATTTCATTTAAATTGCATAAAAATCTGCAGTCTAACAATACAATACCTCGTTCGTCATAACATTCACATATTCTTGATATAAAATATATAAATATATGTTGTAAAACCTCAATTTTTTATATTACGTGTAATTTATGTGTATTTATTTATGAATAGATAATGATAGTTAAAAATAAATTCTATTCATATCATTTATAACATCGTATCATAAATATTATGCATAAAATATACATATTATTATAAAATAAAATATATTATTATATATTATAATATATTATAATATTGTAGTAATACATTATTATAATATTATAATATATTTTATTTTATAATAATATATATATTTTATGTATATTTTACAATAATATATATTTATTTTAATAATAATATATATTGTAATTATATATTATTATAAAATAAAATATTAAATATTAATTATTACAATATTATAATATAATATATAATAATATATTTTATTTCATAATAAAATATATTTTATACATATTTTACAATAATATATATTTATTTTAATAATAATATATATTGTAATGATATATTATTATAATATTATNTAAAATATTAAATATTACAATATTATAATATATAATATATTTTATTTTATAATAATATATATTATGCATATTTTACAATGACATATATTTATTTTAATAATGATATATATTGTAATAATATATTATTATAATATTATATATTATTATAAAATAAAATATATTATAATATTATAATAATGTATTATTACAATATTATAATATATTATAATATATATATATAATGCATATTTTACAATAATATATATTGATTTCAATAATAATATATATTGTAATAATATATTATTATAATATTATAATACATAATATATATTACTATAATATTATATATTATTACAAAATACGCATAAAATATATATTATCATTATAAATACGAAATATATGAAACGAAAAATTTATTACGTAACATAAATTAATATTTGAAACAAAAATATTATGTAACGTTATATTATAGTATTTCTCCGCAGCGTGCACGTTCGTTGCATGTGTTTTTCCTCGTTTGTTATGGCATTCGTTCGCTGCGGGATACTCCGCCGCATTGATTTTATGCATTAACATCGAAATAAGGACTGGATGATGGTTAACAGAATTTGCGTTACGTGCCGGCGCGGAACACCAAACGCGGGCTTTACTTTTGCTTTCAGTTGCGCGCGCAATTCCAACGTAAGGGGAGAGACGAGAGAAGTAAATACAAGTGGAAGCGATTTGCCGGGCAAAAGAGCAGCAAGGGGACCCTCGGGGAATGTAATTTCGTGAGACTCTACGCGAAATGTGTAATTAAAATACAAGCGCAAGTTGCACCATTTCTCCGGTAATGAATGCACACGCTTCCTACGCTTCTCCCAATTAGCCTTCTGATCCGCTCTTTCTAATGAAACCTGCCTCCGATCACGCAACATCCCGCGCGCTTTCATCAATTTTCCCTACCGCCGCCGTACT